TGATATAAAATCAACATTTTTTCCCATTCACTAACATGTTAGTGGGCAACATTTTGCGATACAAAACAACTTGGCGAAACGAGGAATCAGTCTGAAATCCTAGGGAGATACACCCTGTTGTAGGAAATAGTCCGAAGGCAAACTTGTGGTCCCTTATACTAAATATGAAAGTTATTTAATTGAATCGAATAAATCTATGTCATGATTTGTCTCATGCATTATGACAATTTTCTACTGCCTCACTATTGGGTCTGTTTTCCTTTTTTTCTTTGTTTATGTGTATTTTTGTAAACGTTACTAATTATCGAACACAGAAACTAATCCGCAGTATTCAGTCGTAATTAGTCTGAAGGTTTAGGATTATCCTTCATTCAAGTAACAAACTTTTTAAAGTGTCTACAGCTGAGGTTTTAGATGATATTTAAAATGCTTTTTTCTCGAAAGTTTCATATTTCCTCTCATTTATTCCATATCTTTCCTTTGTCACATTTTTCCTTGAACATCACTAATTGTGGAAAAAGAAAAACAAAACCCAGCTGTGGTCACTTATATCATTCCCTTCGTCAGCACTCACACAAACTAAAGCATCAATAGCGACGGAAATAGCAGGCCGTTTTCTGGATTTCTGACTAAAACTGAAGATGCAAGAATAGTGCCAAACGTATTGCTCGATGGGCTTCATCTACTTTTTAAAGAGAATCTGACAGAAAAACCTTTTTTTTACATCCTGAAACCGTCGTGCCGGGAAATAGACAAATGTTTTGAAGAAAGTTTAAGAGGAAGTAAGGTTTCTAAGAGTTTATAATCAGCCTATCGTGGATCAATGATAAAACAATTATTGAACTCGGCTTCCATTTGATGCAAAAAGAATTACAATTATGCAGATCTCAGAGGCTGTTATCCAAATCGGCCGATGACATCTCTCCTCGATCTGCTTACGTGTAATTCCTCCACTTCACAAGGGTGGATACATCATTATATGGAGAAAATAAAATGACAAACAATAAAAAAAAGGGGCGGGAGAGAAAAAACCGACAGGCATCAGGAAAGTTTTTGCTTGACTAAAGCCACTTTTCTGACACAGATTGTATTTCTAGCCGGATTTATGAAAAACGTACCATCGGACTCCAGGAGCCCACACACCTTAAACTGACTCAACTAAAGTAAATATCGCCAAAAAACTCAGCTCTTACCCATGGTTCGCTTAAGGTGACTCTCTTCTTGGTTCCTAATTAGCAAAAGAAACGTTCAAGTCCATCAAAAAGACACTCTGCACTTGTCCATACACTCTAGCTGCTTAAAGGCCCTAAATAACGGAGGACGCTTGAGACTTAACCAAGTTCTAAGCAGAGAATTCAAGGCTAAATCACCCCCCCTGACTTGAGGGGAATACTTTCATTGGCCAATAGGCCTCAAACGTTACAAGAATTAGACATGACAAACTAAAGACCGACATGACCAGCGCACTGTCTTTTCCCAGAGCAGGACTAACGGAAGGTACAACGCTTTTGCAGCACCCTCCCCCCCTAGGGATTGACATGGAGGCCCCTTTCCAACCCATGGCGAGTTGGCTCAGGGACTGAGCTTGACAAGGAGACCAACCAGGACAGCAAGCCCCCTATCTTTTTTCTCACCGCAGTGACCAGAAACCTGGCTATCGCCAGCTTTCTGTGCGAATATTTTGGCCCACTTTGAGGCATGTTTTCAAAAATTCGGCTAGATTTACTTATTTATTAATTTATTTATTAATTAACTTATTTATTTATAGCCCTGCATTATGATGTCATCGAGTCGGACCACTTAAGGGGAAGAAACGTCAACTTCCGGTCTAGCCTGCGATTATGCCCTCATCAGTATTATGTCTACGTTTAAAAAACAAACAAACAAAACGCCTGATTGCAGGTTATTCCGGTCATAATAAAAGTAACCGCCCAAAATGCCAAGATTCAGTGGTTGCTTAAGGAATCAAACATCATCAAGAAGTCAAGAAACATCTTCACTTTGAAAGAAGATTTTAGAATTTCGTGTTACGATATGTGTAGTTCCTTATTGTCTCTGAAAGACATAGAAAGACAGCCACAGCGAACAAAGAAAGCCGACCATACGTCAAGTGGTCGCAATGAAGTTCTTATAGAGGAAGGAATGAAGTTCTTATAAAGTATTTGATGAAAAAGTGGTTGCGGTCGACTTACTGAGAGATGGTTGTTTACAAGGGTTCTTTTTTTTTACTGACAAAACTTTGGCGTTTTACAAATTAAAGTGGTCGCATAAAGCAGACGGTCGCTTACGAGAGACTGTCACACTTAGAGGTTGGAACAAATTGATCATGATATATTTAGAAGACGCGCGCGCGATTTACACGCAAAGAGTGTAGCAGACATGTACCTAGAATTCATAACACCCGTTCTCCTCTTCCTGTTTCAAAAGAGTAAGTTTCGCACAACTGTTCTCATTGCTGAACATTTTACTGCCTTAATTTCACGCGGAAAGGAAGGGAGCAAGGTTTACTGCAATCAAAATTGCTTTTGTTCGACTCGAAGCCTACATAAAATAAAATAAAAAAAATCGCAGTACAGAATAATACGATTGTTGCCATCACTATAGTATACTAACCGTGATCAACATCAACGTTCTCCCTACAATATCAAAGCTTAATGAAACAAATAGGTCAGGAAACATGATAGGAACATGACCGAGGGGTACTCCCTTACATAAGCGATATGGGTATGTGCCACCCCCAGAGGGTGGGGTTTTTGCGCCGTTTTGGTCTGAAAAGGGGTATAGATTTTGCCCATATTAGTCTGGAATCGGGTATGGTTTACAAGGGAACTACGGTTGTGTATCAACGTGTTCGTCGTTTCAATTCCAAAGAAATAAGAAAGAAAGTGTAATATGAATTCGAAGTTTGCTGCAGTTTTAGTCTCAGTAATGATGACATAATTTCTGTTTTATGTAAACATGTAATGTTGCGTTTTGTAACCATCTCCAGATCTGAAAACGGGTGTGGAAAATAAAATTTTTTGGTCTGAAATAGGGTCAGTATTTGGAGAACCGGGCGGCACATCCCCACCAGGAATTTCCGGGAGAATCCCTCGGGGAAATATGATAGGAACATGATTGCACAAGATGAATTTGGTTGATTTGGTTGATCCTTGCTTTCTCTATAGGAAACATATGACAACAACAATGAGAATTTGAATTTTGTCATTATAGGGTTTAAAGGGTTAATCTAAGCAAACTCGATTTTATGACATTTTAAAATCTTTCCTGAAGTAAAACAAATATTGGTATCAGATATTTTACTAATAGCTTTCCCATAAAAACTGCACGCAAGGTTTAATATCCCCGGTCCATAAGAAAACAGAGAGAGATAATCAAGACAGCCACTAAATACCCTGTTACGCTAGTACATGGAGGGTTTGTCTTTCACTTTATTTTATTTCAAAATTCAGAAGGTTACTATACATTTAATATTAATGGAAACAATAAAAAAGAGCTAATATTGATCTGTTCCACTCACTAGATATTGTGTTGCCTTGAAAAGACAGTAGTGCGTTTAATCAGCTGGTTTAAGGGGATTCGATATGCGTTGTATTTGAAACCCAGTTTGGAAATTAACACGTCATCTAATATATATATATTCGCTAAATGAATAGCCATTAAAGACGTTTTTAATGCACAGGCAGTTTTATATAAGTAAGTCATTATCATAGTTAGTAACTTTAGTAAAAGATAAAGCCCTTTCGCTAAACAAGAGGACTGAATAATCATGGCTGGAGACCTCTAAAATGCGACCGTGATAGACTTCACTGGCCAGTTAGTTAAAGTGATGTAAGGTTCCGCGTATCAACCTGTGATGACCCTATAATTATAGCGTCAGTTCCCCGGACCTTCAACTAAAGACACTAATTCTTTTTAAAAATTCGTGAAAGGCATACTTTTCTCTTGATACAAAAGGTGCTCGTTTTATTTAATATCTCCTTTATTTAAATTAGGCGAAGCAAACAAAGGATACTTTACAAAGTTAGTTGAATTTTTTTTAACCACTGGATACCAGTTGTATTTTTTTCAAAACTTAAAACTATTTTCAAATAGAGATTATTTTATAAAAGGACATTTGTATAACCCTTTTTCAAAAATAAAATTGAGAAACGTGCAATAATTCTTTAGTCGAAGCTAACGAACAATATATTAAAATATTGAAACAATTATTTTTTTACGACTGTCTTTCCACCTTTTGGGCCGAATATCATCCACCGTCAAAGGGATGTTTACTGACTCCATGATCTACGCAAATAATGTTTGATCAGCTTTAGAATTTAACTCTAATCGTTCTGCCCAAGTAAAAGCTAAATGACAGTTTTTCTCCTCAACAGCCTTTATTAAAAGACACACCAGGCCCTGAAAGCGTCACTCAGTTCATTGAGCCATTCTTCGCTTAGGCAAGTCTTCTTTGAAAGATAATAGTTCAGAAAGGAGAGCTTTAATTTGCCTTCCCTTGGATCTTTATCTGGTATGATATACGTTCTCCTTACTCTTCAAACGTTTAATTTGTGCTTTGAGCAACAAAACAGAATAAGAGCCCGCTGTGTTCACGCCAATGCTAAAGAAACCGTGGTAGAATTTGCTGACGTTCTTTGCAGTATTAAATTCAATAACTGTAACACTAAAAACTGTTAAACCAACTTTTACTAGTTAATTAAAAGCGTTAAAATTGTACTGATTGTTCCTTTTTTGATCACTAATTAAAAAGGTTAAAAATTTAGTTTTGATAATATTCGACATTCTCATATCAAAATAGAGATGCCTCGTTTGGTTTTTAAATACTACAAATCTTCGTTGCAAAAAAACCTTTTTTTTTACTTTTTGCGCTTACAATTCTGAGTTATGATCTTAAATAGGAACTCGATCAGGGGGTGTTAATAGCCTCAGGATTAATTTTTATTTTTTGATTCATTTGTAAAAGGTTATTCCTTTTGTTATGTTAACAGCTACGAAAAATGAAAGGAATATTTCAGTCAGTCATCTATATCGTTGGTGCAGCGCTCATTGTCACATGTATGCCATCTCAAAACGACCAAGGTAAATGTAGTAACTAATCCCCAGTAAATTCACCGTAAAATCCCACCTCAAAGCCCTAGGCCCGGTTCCTCGAAAAATGGTTAAGTTTAACCCAGGAATAAGCCAAATTTCAAGCAAGGTTTTCTAGTCTAAAAACATATAAACTCGAGCTAACAACGTTCGGCTCTAACTAAGAATTAACTGTTAATTTTAGTATAAGGGAGGAGTAGGTGGGTATTTTCCCAGAAACCTAAATTGATCTACAACAAAATACTGTTGTGCCTTTACTTCGAACTGAAAGGAAATGATAACACAAAGTTTTGCTCCAGGCAATGCATAGCACGGTAAATAGAAAAAGTGGAAAAAAAATTAATCCTGCCATTTTTAGCGCTAATTGCCTTTCAGGAACCTGGCCCTGGACTTATAAAACTTCATAAGGGGTTTTGGGTGGGCTCATAAATTGGGGGGATTATAGCCGTGGGGGGAGGGGGGGCATATAAGCGGAATAAAAAAAACGACGAAATAAAATTAAACGTATCTGAGAAACACATTAAAGCAAACATACCATTACATGTAGAGTTACATTTTATACATTTATTGTGCGTCACAATTAATGAAGAAAGTATTTCAAAAACATCTATAAAACACTTATGCGACTGGAACTACTGGAAAGGAACAGAACGACAGTAAAAAAAAACTACAAGCCTTAACGTTTTCAATTTGCCGTGAAACGGCCCTGTATTTCATTGTTCAGTTGTGTTGGAAATTAACATTGGAACAGAACTCGTGGCGTTGTTATATGAGCATGAACATTTCTTTCTTTCTTTGGTATCAGTGTGATTATTGTTCTCAAGTCCACAGCCTCTTTTTTTACCGGGAATCGGGAATCCACAGCGTAAAATCCAGATTTCAAGACTGTCTTTTACTGCGATACTTGGGGCGATGTAGCTATCGACCTCGCCCGTGTAAGCAGTCTTTGAAACCGCTAATCAGAAAACGTCGTCTTTATAGTTAAACTAAGCTTTTGTATTGTGACAAACTTAGATTTTCCAGCACCAATTCTCGTCACAGTAAGCTGGGACACCCGGTGCTGTACACATAATTCCGACAAAAAGTTGTGCTCCTTCCCTCCCAGTGTTGATTTTTTTGCTTCTGTGATGTCAACTCGCCAAAACCGACGTTGAGGGCGCAGAAAATATCCCCACTGTCCCAACTAATGTCACGAGTATTGAAGGTACAGTACGTTTTGTCCCTCGCGCAGCAGCTTCCAATCACATGCGCACAGCAATCTACTGAATACCGCCAGAAATATAAACCCTTTTTTTCTCTGCTCTCATTCTTTACGCTGATAACGCTTTCTTCTGCAGATTCAGATTCGTGAATTGCAGCGCGCAGCCCTTAATACGACGTTTCTATTGGTCAGCTCACTATGATGGTGATTGCTTTTGAAGGCAGCCCAAGAAAAACGCCGACATTCTGCGACACCACTGTTGGTTTTCCCGCGAAATCACGTCTGGGGAACGAGCGCAAAAACTCCATACTGATGACGAGTCACTTCCCAAATCTGGGTAGTGTTTCTGATTGGTTGTAGCAAATTTCCCACGTGGCACGACCAATTAAAAACACTGCTAACATCTGGGTAGTGACACGTGATCATTATGGAATTAACGAGGCTCGTCCCTCAGAAGTCATTTATCGCGGAAACTGGTGGTGACGTCGGTTAAATGTCGACTGTCGACTATTTTGGACGTTGATACGGTTGGGTCTAAAAAAGCTTACAAAAACATTCAACAAAGAGGCCGGGGTGACGGGCCTTTTAGCCATTGAAATTTTTTAAGAATGAGACAGAGATCTTTATTTCGTGTATTGATTTGAGAAACTTGTTTCATTTCTTAGTAAATATCTGCGATATCAAACCCGAATATCGGTATGAATGTGGATGGTTTGGAATAGATCAAGGAACATGTGAGAAGAAAGGCTGTTGTTGGGACAGTACTCATCCAGATGCCCTCTTTTGCTACAACTCAAAACTCGGCCCACGTAAGTTTGTGAGCATTTGATTTAAAGCATTACAACTCTTTCTAGTATCACCCAACTACTATCCTGCATTTTAATTAACTGAGCAACTAGGAGGCTATAAGTAATAGTCCGGGAGTGGCGAAATTCGGCGGGTTTGAAAACTGATCAAAACAATGGCGGCCGCTTCGCGTTTTTTCGAGCTTTCAAATTAGTTTCTAGATAAATTGCTAGACAATTAAATTCCAGAAAAGACTAAAACAGCAACGGAGTATGGAATGAAGATATTTAGTTGTAAGTTAACCTTTTTTACCACACGAAATTACAAGCATTTAACATGGTTTCGATTTAACGGTTACCATCAATTCAAAACAAAAAACCTTTTTTCGATCGGCGTTTTCAGTATATTGTCACATTTTTTATTACAGAATTATTTCCAGATAAGACAAAATTCAAAACAGTTATACAAGAGATGTAGGAGGAAGAGTTAAATGAATATCTCACAATGTTTTACGCCTAATTTAATTTTTCATTTTAACTTCTAAATATCGTTTATTGTGTAGCATATCGCGATATATAGTGACCGATCACCCCAAAAGGGGACTGGAAACTAGACCTTAAAAGGCTTTTTTTTTAAAAAAAAACTAGCCATACGACCTCTTCTCAAGAGGATCTCAGGATTTACTTAGTACGTAGAAATTATTGTTTTTAGAAAGAGAAAACTCCTGTAGAAAATTGCAAAAGGCAAAAACACAAATAAAATGGCCCAAGGTACGGATATTAGCATGAAAGAAAATATTATTATTTTTACGTTTAAAGTTAACTGGAGGCTTGTTTAACTGTATTAACCCTCGGACGTAGGAGGAGGTTTTTCTGCGTTTTTTCCTAGAAGATAAAACATCATCACCTGACGTTTTCAGTAGCTGTTCGTTCATCCCTCGCACAAATTTTGAGACAAGTTCAGTAATGGTCAGTTTCTATGGTTACGAGATATGACGTCATAAGTAGCAGGTGGTCAAGCCATTTTTGGGTGAAAATACATGTTTTTTTAACTTCTTTTAACAATAAAAGTAAATCTTGTGGCTAAAATCATGCAAAGTTCTTATTTATGTGTTATTTTTCATGTAAAGTACAAAAAATTAATATTTCTCGCGGTTTTAACCTGATTTCTAATTCTTGGTAAAATCCAAGATGGCGACTATTGTTGTTGACGTCACATTCCTCTACCAGCACAACTACCCTTAAAATATATCTCATCTTGTTCAGAAAATCAAAGGCTTTTCGCTAAAGGTAAAATCGTTTCGAAATACCCCAAACTCCGGGGAAGGGGTTCTTTCCCCCCCCCCCCCCCTTTGTACCAAGGTGGGGGTATGAATTTGCGTCACGTCCGAGGGTAAAGGTAGTTAACAATTTTCTAGTTCTAAATCACTTTTGTTTCAGTCCTTGCAGTTCATGAAAGTATTGTGGGTCATGGCACTATTGTAAAGCTTTTTGTTGATGCTTTTAAGAACAGTTTTGGTTGGATTTCCACCGACTTCACATCTGGATGAGCGAATGAAAGAATTTTCACAAGCTTCGCTTTTGTATCACGTGTTTCAGAAACGTGTCAGATATGTGAATTTTTATTATGTAAATTTTGCGCAATCGAGCTTGGTCCATTACTTTTCCAAATATTTTTTAACAAGTATTTCTTATCTTTATAATTGCTTTTTGTGCGACTTGTTGGGTGAAACTAAAACAATTAGACCCTTTGCCCTCAAGGGCTACAGGTCAACATCCTATAAGGCGAATTGACCCGTACCCCTTTGGGGCTAGGGGTCTATCTCGAACGGGGCACTTTAAAGAAGATTCTCCACTCACAATGTTTTTAAAAAAACAAAAGATTTTATTTTTGCAAACGGACCGATGAAAATCAAGGTCGGCTCCTGTCAAGGTTCAACTATGCAACCGTTAAAAACTTTAAAACTGCTTGAACTTACCTGACCTCTCAGGAAACAGCCATCAGATTCATGAATGTTATTAGCCCGTTGCGAAAAAAAACTTAAGAATATTTTGTTTTCGAAAAAACGTCGTGATTGGATAATCTTCTTCCAGGTGCCCCAGTCTGAGTAGTTGCACTTGCAAATATAGTTTCTTTATCCTTGAATAGTACTGAATATCAAAAAAGCAAATTGCTCCATGGAAAAGTACTGAAAGGGCGGTTTCTTAACTGAAGGAAAGTTTATACCCACGTTAAGCTCCGTTCATTTAGCCAAGATACTTGAAATAATAAATGTATTGTGTTTCCACCTTGGTTATGCGTGAAAGTGGTGCAACATGATATGCTCATTTGACCCCCCCTCCCCCCCCCTAAAAAAAACAATTCCCAAGTCCCCGTAATAGTGACCAACATCAATTTTCTCCTAACAATCTTGATCTATACTCAGGAGAAAAGGTTATGAGAGTAAATAACCTGATTGGTGGAACGTAAGGTACAGCGTTTACATTCTTTGCATTTTTTAATTATCTTGTGTTTTGTAACTTACAGCCCCTACGTGTGACGTGCAATCTAAAAACCGTTATGAATGTGGATGGCTGGGAATCGACAAACAAACCTGCTTGAAGAGAGGCTGTTGCTGGGATGAAAGCGATCCAAACGCAAAGTACTGCTACGTTAAAGGAAACTCGCGTAAGCTTTGATTAGGTCACAGTACAGCTAAGAGAGGCCCTGTAAAAAAGTTTGGTGACAGCGTTTATGCGACTCAAAATCCTGCATTCTCGCAAGTTTTCGAAACACGTCACAAACTTACGCTTAAGGTTATGAGCTCCGACGCTTAACATTTCCTTGATATAGGAAAATTGATTGGACGACTTCGTAACCAGGAGCAAATATTTTCCAGTTAAAAGTTCTTTTTTTCATTTTGAAACAATTGAAGATAAATTTGCATTAATGGCAGCCCAAAGATGTTCCACTTTCGTTACAGTACCATACAATAGATATAGAATACAATGTAATGCAACGTGATACAATAAGCTAAATACAAATAATATATACATTTATACAACTGTCTTTCAAAAGTAAATTTTTCTGAGCCTGCGATCACTTGAATACCTTCACTTGTCTGCGGAAAACTATAAAAAACATGTCTCCTCACAGTTGTACACCTGAGCTCGCCATACAGTCATGTGACACTGGTCAGCGGGTATTCTATGAAAGTTGACAGCTGTTAATTGATCATAACATGGATGTAGAGTCAGACCCTTAACATCCGCTTACATGAGCGGGCGGACGTACGCAAGTACGTACGAACGATTTTCTCAGAACCAAAATTTCTTGGATGCATGGATAACTGAATTTTCTTACCCATGGTGCTCCGTTGCGCAAGAGCTCCACCATAAATACGTACTACTATTTTGTTAAGAATCATCACTGGTTAATAAAGGGTATACGGATGTTAAAATCTATACAGATCTTCCTGATGGACTTTGTCCCGTGGCTCCATCTGAACGTGTGGAATGTGGATATTATGGGATAACAAAGGAGGAATGTCTTAACAGAGCATGCTGCTGGGATGAAACAGTTACAACGCCCGGTGCTAGGTGGTGCTTCAAACAGCCGAGTAAGTTGAGTTCGTAAAGTAAAAGTCCTAGCGTACACGTTTAATCAGGTGTACAAAGTCATACATTCGGAGCTTAAAGGAGCTGTGTCACGAAATTCAGCCAAATTAGGACATTACAAAATGTCCGTTAAATTAAGAGAAACATGAAAATAACCGCTTAACATAACAGAAACAACAGATGCCACGGATGGGCAAAACTGTAGAAGACTGAAAAGGATTGAAATTAGGGTTTTTGAAAACTGTTCAGCCTAACAGTTTATCAAAGTTGATCCCTGGTGCTTGCAACTTAAAAAATAATGCTCAGGAGGCATATTTGTTTTCTCGGATCTCTGATTTTGTCATTTACCTGTAATTTCATTGCTTACTTTAAGTTCCATAGCGACTGAGGGCGAGTAATTGGCAAAATTAAACAAAATGAACTGGACTGCCGTGACAGCCCCTTTAACTCGGTGGTAAAACGGCCAACAAAAACGTGCAACTTGTTTTGCAACATTGCTGCAGACAAGTTGAAAAGCGATGTTGCTTGTTTTACCACCCACCTTCAAACCTGCCTTGCAACAAATCAGGTTCTTGATGGTTGCAAACATTTGTTGCAGAAACTAAAGAGTGGTTCTACTTTTTGTAACAACATCTGTACATGTTGCGCGATTTAGCGGCCTAGCCTCGTCCTCACGGTTCACTATTTTTTTTTTTTTTAACAGGAGTTTAGGCTTAGCAACTAACCAAATTACGACATACAATGAACACCTTACGAGTTTCAGTCTGCCAATCAAAAATATCATCTTTTCCAAATGAGGACATAACCCACACAACCTAAAAATAGAACATGATCTGATCTTTTTCTTACTTGTGACATCTCGCTCTTAAATTATTTCTGCGCAAAAAGCAATAACGACCCCAATAACATATTTATTTTTTGGACATAAAAACAGAAGTAATGGAGAGGAGAAGGGTGACCTCAGGTTACCATTGTACCAAAATTTCTGGATCACAACAATCTTTCTTGACAGAGACGGTCATTTGCATTGTCGAACGATGGAAGAAAAGTATGGGCTACTGTTTTGTTCCTGAGTGTGATCATGTACAGGAAAGTCAGACATGTCAACCTTTTCGCTATTTTCTGTCATACACCTATTTGCAATAAGGTTGTCATAGAAAAAAGCAAAAGGCAAAAAGCCAAATAGGCATTAATTAGCATTTAATTATCATCGCTTGCAACATTTCCAACACACACGCTTATAGCTGAATATTAATCACGTAACATGAGCTAGAGAAATCATTTGCATCAGTTTCTTGGTGTCATTCTAATGTAATTCGAGGCTGATTCATCTAGCGGATTTCAAACGTGCTCTAATTACAAACGTACATCGGATAACTACCCCCGCGTCTTTTCGTTTAATGCTAAATAGAAAAGCCAGTCTGCGTATGGTTTGTAGTGCACCACACCATCAGATCACAATTTTCAAGCAACAAATCAGGGGCGTACGCAGGACTTTCCATCGCGGAGAGGGTGAGGCATTCCTCAGCCAGTCCCTCTCCCGCGCCACAAAAAGCTTCGTTTGTTAGGACCCTTTTGTTACACACATTAGTGTTTCTTCTGCGGAATCTTACAGCGCGGAATTACAGAATTATTTCTTGTTATTGTGACTGACTTCTTAAATAATTGTTATATTATTAAAATACGCAAATGTAAATCACATGGCTAATTAATTCCTATTTGGCTTTTTGGTTTTTGCTTTTTGCTTTTTTCTATGACAACGTTATTGCAATTAGGTGTATCTGCATGACCACGGATTGTTGAGACCCAGAAACCGTGGCAACCAAGGCAACATGATCTAACGACTTCTCCTCTCTATATTATTTATACAGTCTAGAAGCAGACTCGTACCCAGTCGCTATTTAAGTGTTTTGGGGGGTGAGAGAAGATTGGGGATTAAGTTGAGGCGCGCGCAGAGTCTCATGGGCTATTTTTCCTTCTTTCCTTCCCATGAGACCCTGCGCGCACCTCTACCTAATCCCCAATCTTCTCTCACCCCAAAAAACACTTAAATAGCGACAGGGTACGAGTCTGGTCTAACTGGTACCGTTAGGTTAATAGTATGATCATCGTGTGGTGCTATTCATTTCTAGTTGATAATCCACCTCTTGGTTGCTACGTATACCACGGTATCGGAGGTACCTGCAAGTACGTATGTGATCAAAATGAAAGGAAAATCTATGGAATGTCTCAGTGTAAAGGCCGTATCTGTTGTGTTTAATTGTCGGTAAGTATCCTATTATCTTCAATCTCGATATACACAGTGGAACCCCACTAAACGGACATCTCGTTATTACGGACAGTTTTCTTTGCCCCTTAGGAAAGCCCGAACATTTTGTCTAAATTGCACTCTACGAACACGTGTGGACAATGCAACGGACACTTTTCTTTTGTCCGATCAACATATTCTCTTGGAAAGTTAACCTTGCTAATCCGGCCTCTCTCAACTTACTTTTCTGACGGTAAAACACTTTCGACAGCATGCATGTCACAGTTAACACAGCTTTTTGAGACGAAATTTCAGCGCTAATTTAATTGTAATTTCATATTTAAAATTAAAAAATTGCCATGGCAACCTTCCGTACACCTCAGTGCCAAGATGGCGAAGAAGTTTTAAAATTTTATGAATGGAGATGTCAGGGCATGAAAAGACTCTTTGGAAACATAAACACACATCAAGAAGGCCAGATTCTAACAGGTATTTTGTCGAGACATACCAAAAATTCTAAAATTAAGCCAAAGTTAAGCTCTAAACTTTTGTGAGCGTGGAGTTCTCAGCTCCCATCGATGCGATAAAACCAGAATAAACTTGTCAAATATCCACAAATGCAATCGTAATCAGAGGCACGCAACGTCAATTTTCGGAAAATATCTGTTCGGAAGACCATTTGAGATCTAGAATTTTCGGAACATTTGCTGTAAAATTTCTTGCTTGCCTGCCTCTCCTAGCATTTTCGAACATCTAAAAAATGGTATAATTGTCCATTCTTTACGGATTTTTATCCTAAAAAGGTCACCTAGAATTTTCGGGATCCTTTTTTCTGGCTGAAAATTTTAGAAAAGGTTCGTTTTGATCCCTATTATTTGTCGGATCACTAGACTTTCAGGTAGGAAATCCGAACAGATGAAAAATTTTTAGGAGATAAAAATATGCCTATATCTACCGTTTACATAATAAAACACGTTTAACAATGCTATGTTTAAGTGGTTTTGAACTATATTCTCGTTGGGTGCCCCTGCGAAATTCGTCACCTACGATATTACTAAATAGGTAATCAAATGATATGCTCGTGAAATAAGGAAATTATTTCATAGGATCATTTTTAGGATTTGGACAAAACGCGCGTGAAATTATTCCTTAATTTCACTCGTCACCATTGATTACATACACGAACAGTTTTTGATTACCGTAAATCCTCTATTAAGCCCCCTCCCCCTCAAATAAGCCTCCCCTTTTCACAGGAGGAAAGTTAATAAGCGCCCCCTCTCTATTAAGTCCCCCCCTTCCCCTCCCCTCCATCCTTATTCTTCACAAAGAATTAACGTGGACTCATCAGTTATGGTTTAATTCATATTGTTTTTGGTCTTCAGCTACATGACGTCCAACTTCATGTGCTGAACTTTTTTAACTTTATGCTCTAGTTCTCTGTGGGGAATTGCTATCATCATCATCACCAATCTTTATTGATACACGAAGTCGTATCACTTTTACATGGTCTTCCTAGGAATCGTGTGTAAAATTATCCTAAAATACTCTAAGAAACTACTTGACTATAAAGTTAAAAATACAAAAACTAATATTATAATAAGAATTACAAGAAGTCATAGTGTATTCAGATAATCTTTCCCATGAAATGAAGTACATTTAAACTAGGCAGGTTTCTAATCTAGAATTGTTACCATTTTCTTATTGAGTGTAAATGATATATGAAATAAATCATATATGAACTGCGGAAATGAAATGAAAATGAATAAAAATGATCGTCATATGAACTGCAGTTCATATATGATTTATTTCATATATCATTCACACTCATTTCTTTCACGGGAACATATGAACCCACAATTGATTGACCTGCTCCCAAAGTCAGTGGCCTCATAGCTCAGTTGGTAGAGCATCACACCGGTATCGCGAGGTCACGGGTTCAAACCCCGTTCAAGTCCTGATTTTTTTTTCATGCTTCTTTACGCAATTTCATAAATTACGTTCACTGCCACGATCATTTCTTCATTTTCATTTTCTTATTGTTAGAAAAAGCAGTATAGCGCCCAGTTACCACAAGTCCGCCCTGGAGAAACCTTGCTCCCGTTGATACATGTCACTAAGTTAAATGAGCCCCACCCCCTCTCTTTTAAGCCCCCTCTCAAAAGTGCTTGGAAAAAATAAGCCCCCGGGGACTAATAGCGGATTTACGGACAACTGAGCGACCTCTGAGTGTCTCCGAGGACATAGTCCACGGAACACCTCGTGGGCTCCTTAGTGTCGGTTTTAAAAAATTAAGGGTTTGGCCGTTTCAGCCTTATCGTCAGTTTTCACCTTACTGTTGAACCAAAGACTACTGATTCCTTTTCCTTTATAGAAATCAAAGACGCCAACACAGAAAAATGAAGTGAGCCAGAAAATCTTGCAGCGAACAACGTGAACAGCCCTTAATATATAGATTTTACCACGCCTAAGAGCGGAGCTCCATTAATAGTAAATAACCATTTACTTGTTCATTAATAAACTTTAAACCGTTGCAAAGAAATTTAAAGAACCAGCAACTATCATCACATTAGTTGATAGCGATTGATTGTCATAGCAATCTTTTGTGAGTTATCAAGAAGGGAAAATCAGAATGGGCTATTCTTACAGTTGTGTGCCCAGTGCCTTGGCTTTTGAAGTAATGTGAGGCTGGAGGCAACCTTGTTTTGTTACAAACTTAACTGCTATTTATCTGCTCATCGTGTTATTTTCATATGAACAAGCCCGTGAACAGGCTCATTTGCAAGTGAAAACAGGACGATTTGTATTTGTAAAAAAAAAAAAACAACGTCACTTCCAGCCTCTCCCCTATCCAAAGGTCAGGGCACTCAGCGCGAAACTGTAAAATGGTCTTCTGAGTTTTTCACACCTTCAGGCAGTGAAGAGTATCATCCTCAAAAACTTCGCATTTTTCGAAAACGATCCCAAAATTGACAGAATGATTTCGAAAACGCCGATCTTTCCAACTTGACTTTAAGTCTTCAAACGTCTGACAAAAAATTGCGACCTCATCTACTCAAAGAGGCAAATTCAAAAGAATTGGAAAAAGAGAGCATTCATATGTACCTCGCACCTATTGGTACATGGATCAACGTTCTCTGAAACAGATTCAAGAACAACGTTTGGGGAAATAACTTCATTCATTCTGCGCACAAAATTCAAAAAATCTTCAAAAATTACTCTATACCTTACAGCTAAAAAGATGGGCTAACATTTGATCACTTTAATTTATAGCCGTGAAAAAGCAAAACTATTTTTAAAAGAAGCATAAAAGACTTGGCTACCACGTAAAATCTTGAAATGTCACATCAAACGTTTGTGAACCCAACCCCATACTCGCCGAGTCTATGCCGGCGCCGGCTTGGCTACGTCCAAGTAGTAAGTTGAACGCGAATGTCCCCAGGTTTTGTCAATCCCGGTAGGCATGAAGAATATACATGCTGGAAATCAAAGCTAATTTCACCGCTCGCCTTCTCTCGCATCCGCTTCTTCATAACATGACACTGGGGGGTAAACGAAAAGCAGTGGTCGACTTTTTTTCTTTCAAGGAGAGAACGTGACAACTTTCCTCTACAGCAGGTGAAACCCACTATTTTGTCAACCTCTCCGTTTCTTAATTACCTGGGGGCACATGCAGTCCTAAAGTACCTATTTCACTAAGTAACTCCTAGGTTCGAGCCACGTAAAAAGAAATACGCATACACTGAACAACGTAAATGACTGTCCATGACTTCATTTATTGAATTTATAAATACGTCTATCTCAGTCGGGTAAATACAGGCATCAGTAAAATAAGCAGAGAGGCAGTCATTACACAACCTAAAAACCAAACAAGTAAAAAACATCACTTTTACAATGTTACGCTATCGAATTGCCAGAACAAATAGTAAATTAGAGATCTTCACAGGTATAGTAGACTGCCGCCAAAAAAAATCCCTATCATTTTCAAAATCTCTTTTAATTGATTTGCATTTCACATTTTTTATCAGCTTCATCTCCAGGCAAAATTATCCTCCTTTTTTATCTATCGCCTTATAGCCCCATGCCCCCACCGGTTCAGAACGCTCGTGTCCTCTCTTCCCATGATGCCTTGCGCAGAACGCCTTACATTTTTCATGGGATTTGGGTTTTTTTAAGGGTTTGAAGTATCAAACTCAGATACATGAGGTCAGAATATATTTTCCATTTATAAAACATTTACAAGTTAATTCTGATTGCAAAATGCCCATAAGCCAAATACGAAGATGTAGTGGTTTCTTATTACGATAGTCAGACGGTTTTTCTTCTTAATTTGACCATGAACATGTTACTGTGGCTCAATAATCTGCTTGCAACACAATGTTTCGGTCGACTTTGTCAATCCCCAAGGTATGGCTATTCTAGGAAACTTCACGTGTGGTTACATGGGATATGTACATCGTGGTTTATGACCACTGTACTTTTGACCTACACACCTATAAGACAAGCCCTAACAAAGGCTTTCCCTAATTCAAACTTAGTCAACATCATTTGTTTACCTTGCTGCCATTCAATTTTCATGATTAAAAAGTTATTTCTCCGGTTAAAGAAGACATTCCGGTACCTGCAGGAAAAAAAAGAGGTTGCTTCGTTATGTAAAAACCTCTATAATATTTTTCTCGGTTGTTTTAAAAAGAAATGACCATTGTAACAATAACAACTCATTCAGGAAAGGAGTAACACAACAAAATCATTTTCTTTTTATAGAAACTCATGTGTAAAATGAGGCTTGATTTCTAACTGCTGTTTCATAAAATGAGCCTCCAATTCAGTGGAGAAATGTCTGAAGTCGCAATTTTATTTCCTCCAGTCAAAACCTTTCCTGCTTAACTTGACCTAGGTACAATTGATCACCAAGTGCCCTCTTCAAAGAACAGGTAAATTTGATGGCTTTGTTCGTTAGGGCGCCCAGGCTCTTGAAAGTAATCTCGTTTTTCGTTTGTTTCAGGTAACATTTTAGGTAAAGGAAGAACTGGCCAAAACAAGACCGTAAAGTTCTATGATAAGTAAGAAACAACACACAAACACCAAATTAAAGTGAACCTTAACGGATGCAATATTTTCATTCTCATATTAGTTCGCTTTGAAGATCAGTGGGAAGTTACATGTAGTGCTTGTATTTTGCCGTCCACGTGAACGTTTTCAGAGCATGGAAGACCTGTGTGTGTATTAACTTGATCGTAATTACCCATGTGAACATGTAGCTCGAGCAACCAATACAGGACACCTGACAATTCTTTCCACCTACCGCGTTCTTCAAGGCTTGATCCAAATCTTCAATTAAATCCTCAGTGTCCTCTAGGCCCACAGACAAACGTATCTAAAATACAAAGCAATGATCATGATCAGCCAGGCACCTTCCCTGTCAAGTAGTTCACCATTTCACTATCAAAATTGACAGAGAACCGTCAACTCTAACTTCCTCAGCAACAAGCCATTGAGAACATACGGTCCGTGAACCACAGGCAGACCACTGGCTCATACTAGACCTCGAATGGCAGTCTCAGTGATCTTCGGGGTCAACGCTAAAACTAGGAATTCGACAAATGAATGTGCTAACAGCTAAAAAAAAAATGTAGACGAAAACACTTGTTAAGAAACATAAGCAACCACCGTTGGAGTCAGTGGTTGAAAATTAACAATACAGTTAACTTTTCTTCAGTAACACCTTCGGTAAGAAACAGTAAGTGAGAAAGACAACAACCTCTAACACAGAAATATCTCCACCCCAAAACCTAGTATAAGGCAAGTTACATTTTTTTTTGCATACTTTCATTTTCTGGAAAACGTCCGCCGCCTGGTTGACAGTCCGCCTGGTTAGCTAAGTTGGGAGAGCGCCGGTCTGCTGAGCAGGAGGTCGCGGGCTCAAACCCCAGCCGAAACAACTCTCAGGGTGTTTAAATAACTGAGGAGAAAGTGCTGCCCTTGCGATGACATCTGCAATCGATTAGACTCATGTTCTACTCTTCCCGGATAAGGACGAAAAACTGTACGTCCCCTTCACAGCACTTTCACTTATCTGGTTCTGTGGGACGTAAAAGAACCCACACTGCTGTTCGAAAAGAGTAGGGGACTTAGATCCCGGTGATGTGGCCAACCTCTCCTGGGCTGGGTGGGTTATCTGTAAGGACACACTTAAATTGGAGCCCCGCTTTGTTGTGTGTGCCGCACCATGGGGTGGAACTGATTGCATAAATAAATAAATAGATAAATAAATAGAAAATATGATACTTTAACTTCGAAACTGAGGCAAAACTTTAGAAACGAAATCAATTAAAACTGAATTATTTCTGATTACACGCTGTTCAAAACTTTGTCCCCAGAAACGTTCCAGAATGGGCCCCAGGAAACACCTTTCTTCTTTAAAATCCCGTACGTTCAGTTTCTCAGTCACGGCAAAGTATTTCGGTTATGAAACCTATTTTTGATTACGCACCGTTAGGGGCTATTGTGGTCTATAAATTTTTCAATTTTAATGCTTTTATGTCGGTGAAACCAGCCGAAAACCGTTACCAGACAGGTCTTCGAACGTTTTTAAGGGAAAGTTCATTTAATATGACAAGGGGGGATGAAGACATTGAAACTCGAAGCTTGAAATTTTAGCAGCCCCCTCGCTAGCGGTTCAATTTTTAGGAGCCCCCTCCTTGGTAGTCGAAAAAAAATTCAGAGCCCCCCCCCCTTCAATTCCTTTGCTCCCCTGAAAAAAAGATCGCTAGACTATATTAAATATATTTACCGTTATTGTCTTCAATGGTTTATACTATGACAAACTTGAGATACAGTTGTGATACAATTTTCTAAAGCATTTTTAGGATGAACAAGAGTGTAATAATTACTGAGACTACATTATCTGTAAACCACGTGATATAGCTGAGTTGCACAGGTCATTAAATTGTTGAGTTGAAAACCATCCGATCTGTATGATGATGTCATGTGTTGGTTTTGAAGTATACAAATTTTCGGAGCCCCCCTCCTAGCGCAACAATTTTTTCAGAGCCCCCCTTCGGGTGTCTAAAAATAATTTCGGAGCCCCCCCTCAATATCTTCATCCCCCCCCCCTTGTCATATTAAATGAACTTTCCCTAAACATCTGCAGAGTTCAGAGTTTTGTAGAGCATCCTAAACACCGGATTACCTCGAGATCCTAGACTCTGCAGCCACTAAACACCAAGTGAAGCTTAAGGAATCCATGTTTATAAAATGGTAGCCTGCGTAGCAAGCGTTTCCAATCGAGTTATTGCGCGAAAGTTAGAGCGGAAGCAAAAAAAAAGGTTGAAGGGGGAGGGGGAGGGGAGAAGAGGAAACGCTTGCCCGCAAACCCCACGATTCTGGAAAACGCCCCTTGATATTTCACGGTTCGGTTCATTTGTAAATTGACAGCTCGTCAAAATAGAAGTATAACGAACAGATTACCCCTGGATTACCAGATTTGTAAAATTACTTTGTTCTCTAATAGAACACGTTCCAGGCGATTGCAAAAACTGTAATAAAAAAGATTTACGATAAAGAAAGTTAAAACTATGAGCGATTTCTGCGGAATTTCTTGTTTTTTTTATTGTGTGGCTTTATCTCGTCTGAAACCTTATCGACACGTCAAAAATGATTTGTCCGGAACAATTCACTCCGCCGGGTATAAGTTTTGCAGAGCGGCCGCTCTTCAGCCTGTGTCGAAACGTTCTCTACAATAGATGCCGCTAAATTTCCAATAAACAAAAAGAATCTTTTCATTTCAAAAAGCTGACAAATCGCTTGTCCATGGCGGCTTTAGCTAGTGTCGAGTACCGATGTTCTGATTCATGTTGATGTTATCTCCAACAAACAGTCCATTTTTTCCAGTCAGATCCGCACGCCGTCATTCTCAAGAAATTGGCCTTCCCTAGTCTCCACTGCTCGATCTCCAATTATACTTTGAAGACTCTGATCTCATAAACCTTCGCACAAACACGATTCCAATAAATATCAGTCCAAAGCATTTGTAATCTGCGACCACAAATCGGATGAGACCAGATCTGTGACGCACGAAAACAAAGCATACCTGGTTTGATTGATGTTTCGAATGCTAAGTAATCAACACTACCCGCACCGCGCCAATCAGAAGCTGCGTTCGTGGGCGAACGCAGTTTTTCAAAATCGTGGGGTTTGCGGGCAAGCGGTTCCTTCGTTCCCCTCCCCCTCCCCCGTCATTCTTTTTTTTTTTGCTCTTGTCCCAGCTTTCTAGACGAACCTCGCGAGGAAACGCTTGCTACGCAAGCTAATAAAATGGGAGAAGCCCGATATCAACCAGTAGGTGAAACACATTAACCCGACTCTCTCTCTGTAAAGAACTAAGCGTCACTCATTTAATTTTTTTTGTTTTAGTACGCAATATTGATAACGCAATGTAACGAACTTTGTAAGATCGCGCGCGCTTTAAATTCAACGTCGATTTCAAAATATGGAACACTGAAGATGACGGATGTACCGTCGAAACATGTCTGGAAAATTAAAGAAAGTTGTTATGTTTTTACGACGTTCCAGAAGTCTTTGCGAAAGTTAACACAGGCTAGATTCCTTTTCGTTTGTACAACTCACCAGTGTGTCTGATATTCCCAAGACTTCCCTCTGCTCTTTTGGGACTGATGCATGAGTCATAATTGCCCTGAAATATCAAGTGACTTGTCCGTTTAGCGATAAAAGTCTAAAAGTGAGTTTGAGAAGGCCCAAATGGCTCTTCAAAGTAATGGAAACAATGTATAACAGGATCACAACCGATCACTGACCAGAAAAAAAAGGGGCTTAAGTAACCATGACAACGACAACGACGACTTGAAAAACAATTGGTTTTATAAGCAAAACAACAGCTCTGTACGTGTATCACGCTTTTTGGAACATATTTCTTTGACGTCCACTACACAACTACAGTGTACGGCGTGAAACTCCCTGATGCGTTTATGGAGGACGTGAATACATGACGACGAATTTTCCTTTTCTGAACTTGGATGCAGCCCTTAATCATTAAACGGCAGGAAATAAATGACCTTTATTTAGCAAATTGAGAGGGTCTAACTCTAAACAGATGTTTTTATTACCGTCGTCGTCACTGCCTAAACTCCCTAATAATTTGGGCTTGACCCATACCATACGTAGCAAGTATTTCTGAGCGAACGCGAACTATTTCCTGCTCATATTAATCATTTACGCTTCCGCAATGAAACCGCGCGGAAATACTTTCTACAAGCTACTTAAACCACCGACGCTAGAGCCAGGTTGCTACACAACAACACTCTTGAAAAAACACATCTAGATTCACTGTAAGTGGCTGAACCTGACTAAGACGTTTATTGAAAGACCTTTTCCAATCACTCTCCAATGAGATGTCCTTGAGGATAGTGTCATATTTCCTCTCCTTAGACCTGCCCCATTTCCAGTGTCTCAATCTTACTTGCCCGTGAGAGACTTTTGAAACAAAACGTATCTTAGTTTCGAAACTAAATGTACCATTCGGAAACACTGGCAAATACATCTTATTTCAATTAAATGCACACTATTCCAAAAAACAAATAAATCACATGACTGAGTCTTAGCTAATCACGCTACATTTTGTAAGTTATCTTCTCCAAAATGCATTTTTCAACTGCAGCTTCAAAGCTGACATTACAAGGGGCCATTTCAGCAGTGATAATATGCCATGCAATGTTCTTTAGTGGTCACAAAACTAAATAAAACACTTACGGTAGTTCCGTTAAACTTTCAAATCCTCCTAAACTCTCAGCTAGAGTGAACAACTGAAATTAAAAAGGATCGATATTAGAGACGTTCAGATTCGAGAAGATCAGTTTGGAGAACTGGTATGTAGATATTGGGGCTTAAACGAAGAGTTAAAAAAACACCCTTGAAAGCTTCATTTTACTACTTTCCACCAGAAGAGTTATTTTTATTGAAGGAGGTAAAGTCCTCTCTCGATCGCAAAATGATAAAACTTCTAGCATTTGATAACTTGTTCCCGGTACTACATTATAAAATGCCTAAAACCCATGGAAAGAATGACGACGACTATCGGGTTTTCCCTCTAGAATAACACTGGATCAAGCTCGCGCACTCCTCGCAAATCTCGTTCTCGTAGTCTTCCAGGAATGTACAGGAATATTACCCTTAATGAGGAACAGGGGGGTAAAGGTGATGTTACACGGAACGATTGACAACGACGATTTTAAACGCAACGTAACGTTGCAACATTGTTCCAACATTGCAACGCTGTGTTGCGCTAAAACTCGTCATTGCAAATCGTCCCGTGTAACATATGGCTTTCAAACAAAACACCTAAAAGAGAGGGGTGGCAAATTAAGAAGGAGGTAGACAGGGGGCGAGTTTCAGCCAAAGCGGGGATGTATTGATGATCATACAAATTGATTTCCAAAGGCTGGGGGTACTTCTATTAGAGATGGCTTGTTCATTGAGAGAGGAAGGGCTTATAAAAAGGCTTTCACTAATTTGGGAGAACAAGGTTTGTTTAATAGAAGGTTTATCTTGCAAAGTCTGACTTCTGGCTGCAGAGGACTGCCTATTCAAGATGAGAAAAGACCAACTACAGATATGGGAGGAGATTTTTTGGAGAAGACAGGCTTTTATAACACTCTGTTCGGAAGAGGGTGCTTATTGCAGAGTAAGTGCGGCTTCTAGAGAAGGGCATATTATTGCAAAGGAGCGGGACGAATTTAGGGCTGTTGCATATTAAGGGTAATCAAGACATAAACGAATATATTATAAATAAAAAAAAAAACAAAATGACAACAGTCAGGCTTATATTATTGCGGGCGACCAAAGGAGTGCACAATTCATCTCCAAGTTGCTATCATTATGCATGCGTGGCACGTTGTAGCCAGCCGTCCTTTGGCCTTCCACCAATGATAAATGGAATACACAGAGCGCAATCTGATCACGCACGACTTTTCACCTTCTAACATGTCACACTAACTTTGTCTTATCCAAAGCACAGCACTGAGAAAGAGCATTTCGTCGCATCAATCTTGGTTGCACTCCCTTGCCTTTGGCTATTGAGTACTACAATCTACTAATAACAGTAAATAACAGAAATATACCTTGGACGATTTAAAAAATTGTTTGGCATTTTCCAAATCTCCCTTGATGAAGAAAGTCACCATTCCACCAAAGCCTGTCATCTGTTTCTTAGCAAGTTCATGCTGTGGATATGATTCAAGGCCTACATTGTGAAACAGTCACACATTAGCAACTTAGATAGGTACTAATTTCTCCTTAAAACTCCTTAATGCCTTTTCTTTGTATGGTTTTCTCACCATATAATTTTCAATAATTGTGTAGCCTGAGTAAACACCTGCCATTTCGCCATGTCCACCACTGGTTTCCAGGTGAAAT